GCATTCGCCATCCAACCCTGTCCTGGACAATCCTTTCCAGCTCCTTCCAGTTCCTATTGATCCTTTTCATATCTGCTTCTATTTCCCGACGTTGTGTTCTTTAGTCTTCCTCTTTTCCGCTTCCATTCAGGATTTCAAGTTAGGGTTTGCCTCGTGATGCAGTTTGACGATTTGCGTAATGTATATCCTATCCATTTCCATCGTCTTTTCCTAATTTCCTCTTCAGCTGGAAGCTGGTTTGTTCTCTCCCACAGAACGCTGTTGCTGATGGTATCAGGCCAATGGATTTTGAGTATCCTGCGTAGAAAACCATTTATAAATACTTGTACCTTCTTGATGATGGTTGTTGTAGTTCTCCACGTTTCAGATCTGTACAGTAGAACTGACTATCTTGACATTCGTATTGAAGATTTTGACTTTGATATTGGCTGACAGTTGTTTTGAGTTTCATATGTTCTTCAATTGTAGGAATGTGACACTTGCTTTGCCAATCCTCGCCTTTACGTCTGCAACAAACAATAGACAAATGGGAAATTGTTTATTGATCAGTTTAAATTACAATCTGTTTTACTAATTTAATCAAGTTATTTTTAGCAATAGGGGTAGAAATTAATCTAATTAAATTTTAAATTAAAACAAAGAAATGACTATCTATTCAGCATGTAAATAAACAATTCAATTTAATAGGAGATATTGAACATGGTCTATTGCATTATATTAAACAATAGAAACTATAACAGTTTATTCTTCCACAAACAATATTAATAAGTTACCTTATTGTAGAATATTGAATATATAAGTCATTTATTTTCAAAATTTCCACATATAAAATGATTGACAAATTATTATTATTATTATCAGAAAGGGTTTTTGGGGATATTATAATAATTTCAATAGCTGAGATCATAAATCAGTTGTAGCTGGATTCAAATCTAGTGAGTCGGGATCGTCGATGCATACTGCTGAGGAGTCCCACAATAGGACAAAAACGCCGTCCATTGCTTTCAGGTTTCCCATGGTGGTCTAGCTTCAATTGACTCATGATCTCAACTATTGAAATTATTATTAATTTATTAGTTGGATTCATGAGTTAATTAAGGCTAGACCACCATGGAAAATCTGGAAGCATTGGATAGTTGTTTTGTCCTAATATGGGACTTCTCAGCAAAGAACGTGTTCAAGGTTTTATTGATTGGAAATGAATTAAGACAAACGTTTATATGTTAATTTACTTGTTATTGTTTGCTTGTATGTTTCAATTGTTGTTTAGGATTGCGTTTGATTAATCTCTTGTTGGTATACGTGCATCCTGTGCGGATTGTCTCGATATTCTCTTAAGTCACAAGCTTTATAAGCAAAGATGGGTGGTGGATAACAGTGGAATCTGGGACACGCGTTTTGTCCTATTTAGGACTTGTCAGATAGATGTACCTGCATCCCGGAGTTCATGTTCACTCTGGAACAAAAAGAAGAAAAATAATATTAATCTAATAGAAGATGTAATTTCATATGGTATCAATTTATTAAAAGCTAATGATAATTTCTTTCTAAATAATTAATTTGCCATTAACAGAAAGTTATGATTAAAATTCATTTGATGCTTGCAGAAACTTTTAAGTCAAGTGCATTTTCCATTTGTTAGAGAATTAAGGATATTCATTCAGTCAGTCAGTAACAACGTAGGACTTCGTACGGATGGACATCAGTTCGAGTTGCCATACCACATTAGCACAGAGATGCAGTCGTCGATCCAAATCCCATTGTGGTAGAGGTAGTAAGAGTCTAAGCAGTAATCAGAAACATTAGGGTTTGAAGATATTATTCAAGGAGTATAATACCGTGAAATAAATTTGGAAAGAGAAAAAAGAAAGGGACATGAATAATCCAGAAGATTACAATTTGGGAGAACACAAAGAGTGGATGCACCTCCACTATTGCGAATGATTTTCAGCCATGTCATTCAACGTCTCCAAATATCGGTTGCTATCATCTCGTGGTCCCCAACCACGTAGTCTACACCTATCAACATGACTCAGTCCACTTGGCAGTGATTTCATGGATTAGTACCACGTTTTGATCTGGCCATCCCTAGCATTCCCCCAACCTACTCCTACACCACAAAACACCGCACGTCAGAGCAGTCGGTGGTTGGGCATACGTAACACATGTTCAAGCCATCTCAACTGATGAATTCGCACTACTTCATTAATTGGTGTGCCATCCTTACCCAGTACCCGATTTCTAACAACTGCATCACATACTCCGTGGTACCAGGATGTACGAGCAATGTTTCGAAGACACGTATGGTCGAATACTAGTAACCTACGAATATCCTCTACTCTTACGGCCATGTTTCACTGTCGTAAAATAGGACGGAACGAACTGACGCGCAGTAAACCCGTCCTTTGGTTGGTAGACGGATATCTAGCCTACGCCATAAATGACGCAAGTTGGTAAAAGCTAGTCGAGCCTTCTGTATCCGTGCTGAGATTTCGTCACACACCAGACCACAAGGGCTGATGAGACTTCCAAGATAAGTGAAGCGGTCGACACGCTCAATTACTTCACTCCCTATCATTAGTTTGGGTGTCGATGCAACCCAATCATGAAGCAACATTTTACATTTCGAGGAGGAGAATCGCATCCCAAACATGACCGCATTGTTGCTTAGAGTGATCAGAAGACTGCATTTTGTCAGTGTCTTCACCAAATACAACTATGTCATCGGCATATCCGAAGTCAACAAGTGAATCTCCTGGTAGAAGTTCAACCCTTGAAAATTGGATCAGGAAAGTATTATCTCTAAAAGCATGTCTACGATAAACTTAAACAAGAATGGAGAGAGTGGACAGCCCTGACAAACACCACTTGAGGTAATCAATTCTGATGACAGTTCGTCATAAGCTCTCACTCTACCAGTTGTGTTCGAGTAGAGAGCCTTTATAAGGTTAATGTACTTCATTGGTACTCCTTTCAGTGACAAACACTGCCATAGAACCTCACGATCAACAGAGTCAAATGCCGCCTTAAGGTCGAGAAATACTACGATTGTGGGGCGTCCGAACGTGTGTCTATGTTCTAGGACCTGACGTAGTGTGAATATCTGGTTTATACAACCACGTCCAGGTCGAAAACCAGCCTGGTTTTCTCTAGTCTGCTCTTCATGAGCTTTGCTTAAGCGTCGAAGTATTATTAAAGTTAATATTTTAGACACTATATTAGTTAAACTGACTGACACAATCAGTGATTTAGACCAGTCAAATGGGATTACGTCCAGTTCCCAAATTCTACCTAAGACCTCAGTTAATCTCATTGCTAATACTGAACCACCATCCTTAAAAATCTCAGGAGTAAACCTGTCAGGGCCTGCTGCTCTCCCTCGTTTCAGATTTCCTATAGCTTTTTCAACTTCATAAAGAGTCGGAGCACCTAAATTAACTTGCAATTCAGGTCGACTGGAGATCGTGAGAAACCGAAGTGCGGCTGAAGGCCAGTTGAACTGATCCATAAGGTGTTCTGTCCATCGATCAAATCCCTTTGATTGAGAATGAATAATACGTACATCTTTTTCTGAGATACTTTCCCAACAGTTGGGATTCCTAATGCCGGTTTCCTTAACGAGTCTGAACAGTTGTCTGCTGTTACCTACTGCCGCTATCTTTTCCATCTCTCTTGCTTTCGCTGCCCACCACTGTCCACGATCATTGCGTAGGCTTCTTGTCAACTTGCGCTTAAACTGACTCCGCTCTTCGTTATGTTCAGAGCCAGATGGAAGGAGTTTTCAGTCATCCATCAGTGCGGTTGATGCTGGTGAGATTCAGTGGCTCTCTCTAACCTTATGGTTTACTGTACTATCATATATCACCACAATATTTCGGATGTCATTCCACGCTGTCTTGTGGTGGGCATCACTTACATGGCTGACTAACTGTTATTCTAGTTGTTCCTGAAATAAATTCTTAGCTTGGTGATCATTAAGTAGGACCCTAAGAGGTTTCCTTGCAGCGTCTTTCCTACGTCCAGTAAGACTCAGACAAATATGCGCTCGCTTTATCGATCCTCTCCACCGGTGGCTGATAGCAATGTGATCTATTTGGGTCGAACTTTGTGACGAATTCGGGGTCGCCATGTCAAGAGATGTTTTTGCTTATGCTTAAAGTTAGTGTTTGCAAGAAACAGGCGGCTATCTCAGTATAGCGCCAACAGACGGTCGCCGTTATCTGTTCTTTGAGCCACGACACCATAACATCCACCCAGGTGTCTTTCCCTGTTGCTTAGTTTACCTACTTAAGTGACCGTGCGCTCATTGACAATTATTTTTCACTTCTAACTCCTTAAGTTCTAGTTAAAAGGTTTAATCAGGATTCAATCAGTTTTTTTTACTTGAACACTTAATGAAGATTAATCTTTTAACAGAGGTTCACTGGATATGAAACTGTAAAACTATGAGTTTCAACTCACTGAATTAATTGTGTGGTAATCGCTCTAAGAACCAGAGATATTCAATTCACTTTCGTATTAATTCTTACCTATTTGTTGAATATGAGTTTTGAACTAGAAGGAAACATCCAGTGATGTTCATCTTTAGATTCAATCAATTCTAGATTTTGGGAAACCATCTTCCATTGCCTTTGGTAGGTAACTACCTCATATCCGACACACATGAGCTTCACTAGTAACGACAATGTTGATTGCTGACATGAAGGAAATGGGTTCTGTTTTGTTGATACTGGTACTAAATGCCAACTGTATGAACTAGTGATAACTTAATACCTCACTCCTGTAGATCATGCAGGGAGAAAAAGTGGCTTAATATAAGACAGATAACAATAACCTAAATCTTTTTAATACACATTTCATTATCTAATGAATACTTTCATGCTCATATTGATTGTTGACTCAAATATACTCATTCATTAATCTGAATTTATAAGTGTTTATCTCAACTTATATTGATTCTACATATTGTTCATTTTTGAATAGACTGAAACACTCTTTATTTAAGTAAAATGAAAATCGTTTCTACTTTTATCTCTTTTTTCAGTTTTATTCTTTTCTTGAGCATATGACCTAATTATGTCATTATTATTATTATTATTATTATTATTATTATTATTATTATTATTATTAGTAGTAGTAGTAGTAGTAGTAGTAGTAGTAGTAGTAGTAGTAGTATCAATGGGTCTTAACACAGATAAAATGATTCTCATCAGTTTTTTTTCCTTTATAAATTTATTCATAAATAATATCTCTAAGCGTATTAGGACATAAGCGAATGATAATAATAAATGATTTTCTCATTTTAAGAACGGAAATACAATAACTTTCTAATCATTTGTAAATGATGAAGAAAGAAAGCAATTAGAAGAGACAACTACAGTTTATTAGCCTATAGCAAAGATAACAAAGTTATGAACATATCAAGAGAATTTGAAGCAGAAAGGCGAATATGTATACACGAGCGAGTGAATATAGAGGCAAATTTATGGTCAAATCGAATAAGGCGGAGCTATGCAAGGCAAAGGCTAATAATAATATTCGAGTATATATATATAGGCGTAGACTGTCATCTGATCAAGAGTAAACTTTTATACAAATACGGTAGTGATCATAATAGTACAAAAGAAACATACGAACTGTTACTGTTAGAATAACATTGTTAAGTAAGTTAATAAAAGGGCTTAACCAAAATTAACCATAATCGAGATTGGTTGTAAGGTAGTTTCTATACCAGTTTATTTTCGTATACATACATATACATTGAGATTAGGAATAGGAAAATGTTGGTTCTAATAATGGGTTAATAAATATATAATATAATAGTTTTAGATAGTAAGCAGCACTGGAATCAGAAATGTATGTTTCTTTCCATTCAAGATTCATCACTTGAAAGTATCTGCATTCGCCTGTTGATGTTCACATTGAGATTTAAACTAATCATCTATTTCTTCAAATCTCACTATTGTATTTGCTGACTGACTAATCGATTATAGTCACCAATCAATGGAAAGAATATAAACGTTCAGTTTCCCATCCTAGACGGTTTTGATAACAAGTACGCCTGAGTTACCATAGACTAACATAGTGGTCAATGGTCAGCTACCATAGTGAATATATTGTTATTGATGCATTGTAGAGATTGAACACGGTGGATCTGATGCAAATGTGAAGGCGCGGATCGGCAAAGCAAGAGCAGCATATGTACAACTGAAGAACACCTGGAACTCAAAACAGCTATCAACCAACACCAAGGTCAGAATTTTCAACACAAATGTCACGTTATCCACTTAGATACTGAGTTTTGATAGCAGCCTGCTTGTCCAATGGGGTGAGGTTTAAATTCACTTGGTGTTGCTTTATTTGTATCTTCCCATTGTTGTTTAAGACTGCAATTGATCAGTCTCTTGCTGGCATATGTGCATCCTGGATTCCACTGCTAGCCACTATCCATCTTTGCTTAAAAAGCTTGTGACTTAAGGCTATATCGAGGCATAGGCACAGGATGCACATATGCCAATAAGAGACTGATCAATTGTAGTCCTAAATAACAATAGGAAGATACAAGCAAAACAATACCAAGTGAAATGTCAGAACAGTTCTACTGTATGGGGCAGAAACCTTGAGAATTACGAAAGCCATCATCCAGAAGATACAAGTGTTTATTAACAGCTCTCTATGCAAAATACTTCTGATCTGTTGGCCGGACACTATCAGCAACAACCTAATGTGGGAGAGAACAAACCAGATTTTAGTTGAGGAAGAAATTAGGAAGAAGCGCTGGAAGTGGATAGGGCACACATTAAAGAAAGCACCGAACTGCGTCACAAGGTAAGCCCTCACATGGAATCCTCAAAGCCAAAGCAAAAATGGAAGACCAAAGAACACATTACGTCGAGCAATGGAGACAGACATGAGAAGAATGAACAAAATTGGATATAATTGGAAAGAAAGGCTCAGGACAGAGTGGGTTGTAGAATGTTGGTCGGCGGTCAATGCTCCATTGGGAGTAGCAGGCGTAGGTAAGTAAGTAAGTGAGCATTATAGAGATAAAATCTGACAGATTTCTGTTGTGAGATTAGATGGTGGTTGGAGGTAGTCAACAGGAAACCCTGGACCCGGGTTTCGTGCTACTTGGCACTCGTCAGCAAGGTGTACCTGTAATCCTGAGGGAACTGGTGCTCCCTGGCGGATTCGATCTCGTGTCACCCAGCTTCAAGATTACAGGTACACCTTGCTGACGAGTGCCAAATAGCACGAAACCCGGGTCCAGGGTTTCCTGTTGACTACCTCCAACCACCATCTAATCTCATTACATAGTGCCCGCAGTGTCGAGTCACCTAGACTGGTGGCCACATTGCAACATGATCGATAGCATTCGATCTGCACTAATAAGGACTAGACAAGCATGAGATTGATCACCACCCAGTGATCAATCAATTGTGAGATTTCTGTTGTTTACCAAAATCAACAAGTAAGTCTACAAATGCACATGAATGTTAAATATATTCTAAGTTAACAAATCAAATATAGAAAGTAGAGTTTAACAATTAAACATGAATAGAAATTAAAGATTGTATGAACTATTATACACCGAGCACTCAAAACATCAGAAATTTAGTCCTTCAAAAATATTAAGATGTAAGTAGATCAAACATTTTAATACATCCATTTTTCATAGACAAATGAATGAATAAAAACACTCTTTAATCAGATGGACTTTATAACACACTGGACAGAGAAGTTCAATCACAATGATTATCTACGATCTGTCAGCTCATAGTTAATCAACCATTTATGATTTAATAAACTATTCACTTTAGTACTTACCATTGTTATTTACTTTTAATGGTTATACTTCTTAATTTCTACTCCATTAAGTCCATAATAGTTAGTTTCATAATTGATTATCTGTTTGATTACCTTAGCCTAGTATTATTGGAACTATGATCCTCATGAAAACCATTTCACTCTATATTGTTTAAATAAATGCTACATTGGTAGAAAAACAATAATTACTAGATTAATTAAGCAATAAATATTTTTAGATTTCACTTTATATAATCATATGATCTTTTGACATAGATACTGGGTTATTTTATTGAAACACCCGCTGACATAAGTTGACCTTGGTCTTAATTATGAAACGAATTCTATAAAATGTGTAAACATTCAATTACTAAAGTACTTATATTCTTATTATTGTTACCAATAAATGGCAGAATGAAAGAGAATGTAAAAAAGGCTAAATAATATATAATATAATACTGTAGTCCTAAACATCAATGGGAAGATTTAAAGAAATAATACAAAAATAAATTATAACTTCACCCTATTGTACAAGCTAGTGGCTATCTGGAATCAGTAGTTAAGTAGATAACGCGATGGTGTTTGAAGTGAACGTTATTGTGGTTTGAGTCCCGGAGTAAATATCAACACTAAGATGTGGGTACATATAATTGGCCAGGACGAAACATGCGTCTTGGATTCCATTGCTAGCCACCATTCATCTTTGCTAAATAATACATATTTATAGCTCAGTTAGTAAACTGATATACCTAATGTAGTGAAAAATAAAAAAAATTATTTAGTTAAATAAAATCACCAAGCTGTTACGTCAAGTTTGAAAGGCATCATATCGTTATTGATAACAAGGCATTTAAACTTTGTAGGTTATTCATAACTTATGACAATAAAAACTTGTAAACTACATTTAGCATTTACGTACTTTAAAGTTATCATTGACCAAACAATCGAACTACGTAATTCCCATTATAATGATCAATCTCACGTTTCTTTAGTACTTTTAGTGCTGATTATCTATCAAGTTAGAATGTTGTCACTAGTCTAACTGACTAGATATCGTGTACATAATGTTGGGATAGGAAATATTATGTCTGCATTATGTTCTAGTTGGCATACGTGTAATCTTTAGGGAATTGATACTCCCTGACATATTCAAACCTAAATCATTCAGCTTTTTCCTGATAGGAACTGGACGCCGGAACTACCAAACAACGAACACCCTTCGAAATGTTTTAAATCGTATAAAAGAAAAAATCCTCTCTACGTCTATACGGAATGGAGTCTGTAAGTTAGGATGTTCCGATCGTGATGTTTTTTATGTTGGAGAGTCATCTCGTGAAATCTTGACTCGAGCCAAAGAACATCTCAGGTACACAAAAAAAACCGCCTAATAATCCTATAGAACTGGAAAGACTCTAAATTAACTCGTTAATAGCAGTTCATGACAATTTCAATAACCATCAAGTCAATATTGAAAATATTAAAATAAAACAAAAAGGCTTTTCCAACTAGAAAGAAAGTCGAATAGATGAAGATTTTCATATAATGCTTAATCCTACTACCCTCAATAAGAAAGAAGGATTTACTATCTATCCGAACTATCATTTCTGATTCTATTTACATCTCACACCGTTATCATTCAAACAAATTCAACTCTATCCTTTCGCATCACAAATATCACATTTTTTTAATCCATTAGCACACTTAGACACATACAAATATACAAACATGCCTCACATTATTCATCTTGACTAGAATGACATGACAGTGACTTGATCAGACCTGTTTTTTGATTGATCTCACTGAATGATTTTGCTTCATTCGTTTGTACTATTTAAACTTGGGTTAATTTAATCTGGTTATTTATTCTGTGAAGTGGCTTACACTGAGTTAGGAAACGTCAGAAAATTTACCAATTCATTGTGATATTACAAATATGTTATTATTATTAATGATGATTAAATGAAGTTGAAATTCAATAGGCAAATACTTTGAAAGTGTCCCACCTTATCTGTTTATTAAAATGAAATTCAAATAGTTATACAGATGTTGACAATTATCTCATAGATAAGGCACTTTTAAAGATCAGTTCCAAGATAACATTTATGGAGTTCGTTCAAAACGAATTTGAACTACTGTACATTACCGACTAGATCATGAACACATTTGTCTACTACTAAATGAATCAATCAATGTTAAAGAGACATTTAGCTACCATAGTATAAATTTATTATTATCTAACCTTAAAGGTTTTAAATGGAACTGTTTTCTGGCATATCGAACCTACAAGTTTAATAGAGAAAAGACAAGAAAACATCCATTTGACTGTGATAAAGTTTTGTTTTTCTGAGCTGGATGGTTTGGTTATGTCAAAGAATAAAACTACATTGAAATCATCCAACTGAACTACAAATCTTCTCAACCATTTCAATATCCA